CTGCTCCCCACGGTTAGTCCCTTTGGACGTCCGTGACAATCCCTTAAGTTCGGCACTCCCCATTATTTTAACTACAGATCCTACAGCTGTTTTTTGTTTGTTTTAATTATTTTTTCCTGACAGTTTTTTTTCTTTAACCTGGAGGGAAAATGTTGGCAGAAATGTTAAGGTGAACCCCTGGAGACACTGAGTAATAATCAAGTGACAATTGAATGAAACTGGTTGCTGACTCATTACACAACTGTCATACTGAGCAGTACGACTTGGAGAATAGGTTATTACTGGCAATCACAGATTGCTTTCAGGGACTGAAGAGTTCTGTTATATCCTCAAGAGGAAGGCAAAGTTTAACAAGCAACTTCTTCAAAGCACCCCACCATTTCTTTATGTGGTGGGCTACTGTACATGGCATCAATTCCTGCATAGATCTCTACAATATTTACTCTTTCATTTCACACTCCATAGGTTCCATGGGTTTTTAAGAACATCTTTATCTTCTCTTCTTAGACTCTTTAACAGATGATTTCTCCTTCACACTCTTTTCTCAATATAATTGCTGGTTCCTCTGGTGACACATTCATACCATCCTAGTCAGTTTGAACATTTTTTTATCTTATTGTCTCATTGTTTGTCTTATTATTGTCTTAGCTATTTGGAGGCACTTTGATGTTTTGTCTCACATCCTTATTTCCCATTGTATCAGCTCTGGTTACACCTCATCCCTGTCTATGCATTCTCATTTTTGTATTACTGCTGCACTAACTTTCTGATCTTGCTGTCTGTTCAACATTCACTGATGCTGTAGGGGTTTCACCTGTGCTTCACATACAGTACTCTTTTTTTTCTCAGTTTCAGTGGCAATTTCTGATCATACCACACTCCTGTGAGATCATGCCACTTGTTCCATGCACTTTTGTATCAAATGTCTTCACCAGTATTAGCATGTTTTTTAAATACAGAACATATTCATAGTTTACACTATTGGTGAGTTGTGCTCTCCCAATCTCTCAATATACTAACATAAGCAACCCCAAGATCATAACCTACTACCCTGAGTTTTATTTTGGTCCTGCCTGTTTTTTCTCCTTCAAGGCAATTCTCCCACTCGTTTAATGTATTGTTTGGAATGCACTCCTTCTCCATTCTCATCACATACTGTACAAAGCACTTCTCCAGAATTCATACTCAGTAGTGCTTCTTCTTGATTCAGTTCTGCTAATATGTCCACAATTATTATAAGCATTATACGGCTAATAGCTTAACCTTGATGTTCTGTCCCGTCCAATAAGGCACAGGAACTCTTAACAAGAAACGAAACATGGATGTTTTGAAAATTGCGAAAATCTGAAGGATGAAGATATTTAAATGAGATTTTCTTTCATTTATAATTCTGCCCTTTTTCTGTTTGTTTCTCAGAAGAAAACATTTATTTTCTTTTTAACAGTACAGTATATGTTTCCCAGGAACCTTATGAGTGAGGTGCTGTCTAAGAATTATACCATCTTAAAGATATACAATGGTCTTGAATGGGTTACAGGCCAGGTCTGTTAAAAGACTTTTTGAAGGAAACAATAACTCATGATCAGCCTCTGTCTGCTTCACTTGGAGTAGGTCATTAAAATGCTAAACCTGCTAAGCCACAATGCACAGATACCTATTGAATGAGAATTTATGAAGCATTAAGGATTACCTTAGTATAATGTTCTACTGAGTTATCATCTGTTTTATATATGATGGATTTCCTTAAGTCTTCATCAGCTTTGTATGCTTTCAAGTAATGCTGTTTGCACTAAGACCTCTTTCCTGTTTGTGAACAATTTGTTGCACGATTGATTTGTGTGTAATCTAGCATCATATTTAAGCAAGGGCATAAGTGACTGTAAATTAATTTGATTTACGATGACAGAAGATCTCTGCTAATCTTAATAAAGAGAGATGAATCGATAAATAAACACGAGGAAGCCACAAATTGAGTCACTCAAGTACTGTTGGGGAAATCATTATTACCTACTAAAATAATAAATTATTACCAGGAAATTATTCCTTCTGAGTGTATCCAAAGTGCTTCCACTGGTATCAAAAGACAGGTCCTTGATGTTCTGAGAGAAATATGTGTTATTTTTACCCTTTTATGATGGATCACAACACAAATCAGCTGCTTTACCTAATGTATTATTCAGAAATATTATAAAAGTGAATCATGCAGTCTTCAGCCACATCGCAAGGCTAGGTATTATTCATTTGTACTTTCTTTTCCAAATGGGAGCAGTTAAGAGAGACAAAACTAATGTATTTATTTCTGCTATTATTATTAATATATCTTTGTTTGCACCTTCTGGTTAGGCAAGAGTAATGTTAGGCTATG